CTAAGTCCCTCTTCACTTCGAAGGACATCTGTCATCCGAGGCAGATCAGTGGTAGTAGCCTACATATGCAATCCCAGCCAAGTTATAGCTAGAAGCCTTCACCTGCCACCCACTTGAGGTCATAGAAAGCAGGTTACACCTGTCACCTGGCACAGATCTAAGCTAGCAGCTTTCACTTGTCAGGGTTTGATATGCCGAGTAATATACTTTATCGTGTTCAGGTAAACATGGAAACACGTGGCTCACATATGCAGACGATTTAACTATGACTTGTTTGCGAAACTCATTTAGACATTTTTTCCTGTCAAGTAACTAAAGGGCACAATATACTGGTCCACCTGAGCAATACAGTGGGCCTTGTCTAGTGCGGCTGTAGGTACAGAAGGACAGTGCACCTCTTTGACTCAATGGGCATTGTTTGAGGTACCTGTGTGGCACAGAAAGATGGTGTACTTGTAGGAAAAAAGCCTCATGCACCTAACGGGTACAAAAGCCTGAGCACCTGTTTGATACAGAAGGCACGTGCACCTATGGGGTATCGTAGCATGGTGCACCTTTGTGGAACAAGAGCCTAGTGAAACTGTGAAATACAGTTCATTGCAGCAGTTTTACTTCAGCTGTATTATGTTGAAATAGTTTATGAATCAAATACAATGTTTGGTTAACGAATGTAGTAAACGAACGCTACAAATAAAAACTGAATTGTAACTACAATAAAATATAAAAAAACGAGGGAAGGACTAAGTTTAAACGGAAAATATATATCATATACAAAGTAACGAGGAAGGAAAACAAAGAAAGAAAAACTTACATCTTGGAGCAGATGAAGATGAAAAACCTGACTTAAAATTTAAACAATATAAACTTGAAAATAAATGACGTAAATGAAAGAAACTCGTAAATAAAACGTGGTCAGTCGGAAGAAAATAAAGTTGTATTATACATTTTCCAGATTAAATACATGAGAAGCAAGTAGGTGTCGCCAATCAATTAAAGGTTCAGAGGCAGGGCCCAAGAACTTGAGTTCAGCAAACACCCTCCTCCCCCTCCAACACCCCCCTCCCCCTTCCCAGCAAGTGCAGAGAGATGTATACGGCCACATCGAAAACTTCCCACGAATCGTCAACTAACTCATTCATTCGCTCTGTTGTATTTTCCTGAAGTTTGTGATGTCATGGATAAAACACAGCTAAAGATTTAACAACTTTGAAGAAGGCAGTTCCCGCTCGTGAACTCACCTACATGTACTCACCGATGAATCGAGGGTTCAGTATTAGCGTCCGTGCCGAGTGTGTATGAATACTCTCATAGTTGTATTCACCTAGTTGTGCTTGCGGGGGTTGAGCTCTGGCTCTTTGGGCCCGCCTTCAACTATTATTCATTCAAGGGTAATGCGTGTGAACGGATGACACACTTTAGACAACAGGAGACTGGCAGCTGCTGCAAATACTTGGATGGCATCATTCAGCTACACCCGACCAGCCCAGCTGTACCCAGCAGGCAGAACTGACCAACACCTGCACCAAGCGGACCCACCTGCACCGAGGCTGACCCACCTGCACCAAGTGGACCCACCTGCATCGAGGCAGGCCCACCTGCACCAAGCGGACCCACCTGCACCGAGGCAGACCCACCTTCACCACACAGACCAAGCTTATGACCATCATCAGAAGGGTAAAATGATCATGACTCTTGCTCGCCCATCAAGGTCCTCTTTTACCGAAAGTCCTTTGAAATCCCCCGAAAGTTGAGTATTATACAAACGCTCCTGGACTGTATTATGGTAAGTTATGTGTGTCGCACATATCATCGTGACGGCTCATGAAGCTACAGCCCAGTATAATGCTTGGAAAAATACGCCTGGTCTCGCTGAAAGAATTTTACTTTGCAGTGTTCTGGGTTCCACAACAGGACTCGTATATAATTCAATAGAAATTTGTCGTTTCTCTTTCCTTTTTTTTAAGATTACTCCATGAATTACAGTTGACGTTGATATATAAATATATATTTTTTTTAGTTGATATATAAATACGCGTGGGTAAAGCCATGTAATTGACCATAGGTAACAATAAGTGGGTTTTATTATTTTGGCTATACCGTCCTCTCCATCAGGATCACCAGTTTTAAAGTTTTATCTAAAAGCAGAAGGTTGTTTTACTCCGACCATCTAAGGCGGTGTTGTTATTCCAAGACGCTGGAGATCTCCACCACCCAAAACTTTATTATTTCAAGACATGAGTCGCCAGCGTTCCCAAGCGTTCATTCAGCAGAACAATCCTAATTTAAGCGTCCTCCCCGGCGGCTGAAGAACGCTTATAACGTTTCCTCTCTTGAACCCTATTAAAAATATGTCGATAGTTAATTATGAACTATATTGAAGGCGTTATATATGGCTCTTAAGACGTAAGAAATACCTGTGGCGGTTTTTATTATTTTGAAAAGTTTCTCTCCAATATCTTGGGTTGATAGGGTCGCTGTAATAGACATATTTTAGTAGAACAACAAATCATTTTTTCAACATGAACGACTAACACTAAACACCAACATAGCATCAATCCGTAACACTGCTATCACCTCTGGCATAACCTAACCTAACCACCATCAACGGATACACTATAACCACACCAACCACTACAACCATCACAGCCCCAACCCTTACCTCAACGACCATTAAGCTGCAGAGACCACTCTTACCAAAAATAAAAAGGATCATCACCATCTTCACCATTAGACCCACAACAACAATCACCACCAGCAAGCGATACCATTAACACAATCACCACCAACGTCACCAACATCATCACCACAATCGCCTCCACCACCACTACAATAAACACCTTCATTAAAACACGCACCACCAACATAATTACCAGCATTACCATCACCATCCCTCCCACCATCAACAATCAACAATCACCACCAACACTGCCAACAAAACCACACCCCCCCACCAACACAAACTCTAACCACGGCCACTCACGTCACAGCAGATGAGTAGTGTCCCAGCGAGCCATACTTGAGGCAGTAGCCATAAACCACCATTAAACCCCTGGTTTATATTGATGGTCTCGGCGACGAGGCAATGAATTTATATTAACACTCATGCTAGAGTTGTCCCCCCCCCCCTCCCTGCTGTAAAGTTCAGGTGATACCCCTGCTTGTCTGCTGGTAGGGGTAGGCTGTATGTCTAATTGTGGGAACTGTGAGTAGTTTGTGTCTAGTGGAAGGCAGTATGTCTAGTGGTAGGCAGTATGTCTAGTAGTAGGGAGTATGTCTAGTGGTAGGCAGTATGTCTAGTGGTAGGGAGTATGTCTAGTGGGAGGCAGTATGTCTAGTGGTAGGCAGTATGTCTAGTGGTAGGCAGTATGTCTAGTGGTAGGCAGTATGTCTAGTGGTAGGGAGTATGTCTAGTGGTAGGAAGTATGTCTAGTGGTAGAAAGTATGTCTAGTGGTAGGCAGTATGTCTAGTGGTAGGAAGTATGTCTTTTGGGAGGGTTATTAAGGGACATCATAATCCGCCCGTCCCTCTTGAGCGTTCCCAGCGTCTCTAAACTGATGTACTAAATTGCCCGAACCTAACCTAACCTAACCGAGAATTCACGAATAGAAAACGGGAAATCGCGGAAATTTGCCAAGCCGCTTTCAGTTTTTGGCCTCAGGGGATTTATTGGTCAAAATGTGTTGTAATGTTCAAGATTAGGAATGGCCACAAGCTTGCTGACCCACTAGAGTATACGTTACTCTCTAAAGTATACTCTTTCTAAAGCTTTCTAAAGCTTTCTAAAGCTCTCAAAAGCATGACTAAAGCTTTCTAGTCATGAACATAGTCCAAGACACAAGTAATCTCTTTCTGTGTTATACACCATAAAATGGGGAAACCCTTCTTGGTGTGTAACTCGAATATATAATATTCGAATTAGATATAATATACCTGACATGTAAATTCCCTCCTTAATCCTCTGGCTATATGTTACATAGTAAGGGGAATTAACTGCACTGAGTTTTTTTCTGTTGAAAAGCTTATTTGTATCCTTCTGAATTACTCATGTGAATTGGTTGAATCGTTCGTTTATATTCGTTTAAAACATACGAAACGCAGTTCACGTTTTTAATTATTTTTAATTCGATTTACTTTAGCTATCAAGTTCTTTACCCCTGTAAAATTATCGATATTTTTTTATACTGTATTCACTCAAATTCAACTGAGATTGAAAATATCTGATGGTCTCATATCAAAGACAGAGCAGAATAAATAATATAAATAATATATCTTATGTTTTTTAAAGCTTGGGTTAGTTTGAATTTGTTGATAGAGGTTTTAATCTTTGTTCTGATTACGAATTGTATGATGGAGAATTTAATTTCTTCCATGAGTTCTTTGAATGAGCTGCATTTCCAAACAAAATATTTAGCAAAATTGTTATGATCTTAAATATCAAATTTCTACCAATCGTCATAATTCACAGAATCCCTTAAGATATTCGATATGTTAAATTTTCATATTTGCTTGCTGTTAGCAATCAGGTTTAAAGGAACTTCGCAATATTCTTAGCCATTCATTACCACTCATGGAAAGGAAATGACTTTCCTAAGTGGGCTTAGTATGATTTATTTCGGTATTTTGAGAGAAGAGTTGGGGGTTGTTGCACTCCTATACAACAGCAACAGTGCACACAGACAATGCCAAAGACCATAACTAGGCTTCAGTGCAAGTTTCAGGACCGCTAGGGGATTCAGTTGAAACTAAGGTTACATTGCCTTTCGCCTATCGTGGCCTAGTGGTTTAACGCATATGCCTTAAATGGGAATACGGGAATATGCTGTGTGCAGGTACACATCCTCTTCATGGCTCCTTCGAACGTTGTAAACGGGTGATTAAATTGGTTACGGGTCTTTAGAAAACAATTTACAATCTTGGTAAGTGTTGAGCACATGTTCTGCTTTCTTGAAGCTGAGGTAATAAATTTCTCATATTTACCTTGTCTTCCCTTATGCTGCAGGTGGAGATTGAAGGCGTCACGGGAAACATCAGTTTCACGGACGAAGGCAAAAGGAAGGACTACTCAATAGACGTAGTGGAAATGACATTCAACAGTGAGACGGTCAAGGTAAGTCATCGTAGAATGTCCTACCTCAACCCATTTTACTGGAACGTCTTGGTAGCTCCCATTATCTTTGTTTTTTCCTGTACAAATTTTACAAATTTCAGGTCAAGGTCAGGTCATGTCTTCAGTCCTTTGGTTCACAGTTCATCATTCTGTGTATTTATTTAATTTTGTCGGGAACAGAAAGCTTGAGTTTATATTTATTTTAGGCTTGTATCCAGGTATCCTCAGGGTCTAACTACTGACCCTTCCAAGGATATAACCCCACAGCTGGTGCCTAGCTCCCGGGTTCCATCTTACTGCTAAAGTAATAGGGACATTAGCTAAAAGGAAAGGTGACATTTTATACCCCCTCTGGGATTCGAAATGTTGTACTATTACAATTACTGTTGTCTAAAATTTAACAACACTTAAAGTTTAAGTCTAAAGTTTAGACAACACCCACCAGTGGGCCCCGAATCCAGAAAGCACAACTATATATATATATATATATATATATATATATATATATATATATATATATATATATATATATATATATATATATATATATATATATATATATATGTATATTATAATATATATTATATATATATATGGATAAAAAATTGTCATTGTATTTTTTTCATAAAATCTTAGGAACTGGACTCTTCCTCCCTTCCTTTATCGCTTTTCTTGTTCTCGGCTAAATCTAATGAGGCTCTTCAGCCCATCTCAGATCTCGGGGAGTTAATCTAGCTCCACTTCCAAGATCTCTTCAAATCATTTGTTTTACTCTCATTTATTGACTTATTATTCAATTCACAAAAATTTTGACAATCCTCATGATTTGGTCCTTCAATGTCTTTTCTCGAACTATTTATTAGTGAAGAAATGTCGTTCAGATTATTAATTAGAAATCATTGTCGTTCTCATACATTATATTTTACCAGTGTGAATACATTCTCGTTTCTAGTGTTACTGAGAGAGAGAGAAAGAGATGGAGAGAGAAAGAAAGAAAGAAATAGAAAGAGAGACAGAGAGAGACAGAACGAGAGAGAAAAAGAGAGAGACAGAAAGAGAAAGAAAGAGAAAGTGAAAAGAGAGAAAGATAAAGATGATTGTTGGAGAAAGAGAAAGATGAACAAAGAGATGATTCTGTCTCAGATGAGGTAGTCTTATCTTACCTCAGCTTCACATGAGCTGAGATAGGATAACAGTTGTATTTTTGTATTGATTGTATTTTCATTTGGTACGCCATTTAATTGGCAGCTCTCATGAACACTAGTCTTAGTTTAAAAAAAAAAAAAAAAGAAGAGAGAGAGAGAGAGAGAGAGAGAGAGAGAGAGAGAGAGAAATAACCCAAAAGCACGTCCCCTGCTCGTTTACTACTGTCCTCACACCAAACCGCAACGACCGCACCACCTGGCCGGTTTTTATAGCTACTGCGAGGAACCCGCAGTACGAGTGCGACTTAGTGAGTGAGGGACTGGAAAAAGAGGCCGTTAGAGAGAGAGAGAGAGAGAGAGAGAGAGAGAGAGAGGGGGGGGGGGAGTTAGTAGGAGAAACTAAAAAAGATAATCTCCCTCCTCTCGTAGTTGTTTATAATATACATTACAGCTTGACAACTGAGGGAAACAGACAGACAGTGATGGACAGACATGACAGTGACGACAAGTTCAAGAGAGGGAGAGGGGTAGATGGTAGGTAAACACAAAGATTAATTTAGATAGGAGATGCCTCGTATGGGCCAATAAGCCTTCTGCAGCCCCTATGTTTATCCCTTATGTATCCCCCCATGTTTTTCACCTTCATTGTATTATCACCTGACCTAATGCGGGTATAAAATCAACTAGTATTGTAAGATTGTTCACTTGAGAATGAACCATGGAGGTTCGAAACGTCGTGCAAATTATACAAATAAGTGTAATACACTCTATAGTAAATCACTTTTCTTCACCTTAAAAGTACGAAAATGAGTTTTGGAGAACTCCTATTCCAATTAAGCCCTGATGCTAAGAAAATAGTTAGAGGGATAGAAGCCCTAAACCAGAAAATAATAAATACAGAATATGCGGTCATATTCAATGAAACATGTTTGAAAGAAAACCTGCTGCCAGTATACACCAATATATATATATATATATATATATATATATATATATATATATATATATATATATATATATATATAAGTAAACAAGTAAAACAAATTTACAGAGAATACTCACATATATGTAAAAATATAACAATCAGCGTTCGAAGACCTCGTCCAGCTCCTCGGAGGTTGGGTGCATACCCAGGATACAGCACGCATTTCCCCTCTGAACTTCGACACTGAGGCGCTGGAACAGGGAACTGGCCGCTCGTGGGTTTCTAGTTTTCCCAATGAGCTCCTCGCCCACCTCCTTTAAAAACTTGAGTGCACATTTACCCCAGGCGCCCAGAGTCTCAGAGCCTATCGGCACGAACCTGTAACAACGTTCTAAGTCTCTGTACTTGTTGATTTTCTGGATCTCTCTGAAGGTGGCTGCCCCACCTCCCTCCGCCGAGCTGTAACGTAGATAGGTATCACCCAATGTGGAAGCACATATGTAATTCCATACGACCTGTTTACCTTCTCTCCATTGCTGCAGGGTGACTCCATCTGGGCGTTTTTGGCTCTTGTCAGGTCTGCACAACTGAGGTTCCTTTGTGCTTGGCACCCAGCTGTAGCCAAACTTCTCTTGATGATGTCATTGACTGATTCATGTCTGGCAATCTTTCCCTGCGTCTTACGACAGATGAGACCATGGCTGCCGTATTGGTCTGCCCGAGCATGGCCGCAAATACACCGGTGCTCGGTGGAGATAGGGGCGGCAAGGCGCAGAGGAACACCAATACTTAGGGTCCGATGGTCCAGGCGGGTGCCCAAGGCGGAATTAGGGACTTTCAACAGGAAGTCCCCGGCATAGGGGGCTTGTAAAGCTAGGAGACGCGCTCTGTCCTCCGAAGCTGCCTTCAGCAGTGCTTTGGCGAAGTTTTCCTCTATGGGGCTAAACCCATTTGGCCTGTTTGCCCTCGTTTATATATATATATATATATATATATATATATATATATATATATATATATATATATATATATATATATATATACACACACACACACAGTTACGGCCTCAATGGGACGCAACCGGGTTCTTTCTGATGTTATGAAAGTTCTGGTATCCGGCCCCAAATAAGTAGAGGCTTTCAAGGGGTGAGCTCAGTAATGCAAGTAAAACAAAAGGGGGAAGTACAACAAATACAACAGGTAGTCACTTTATCCATATATAATTATTTTCCCATCACCACATATGTATATATATAACTCTTAAAAGGAAGTATTACTACACTATATGTACACCAACGTCTCTCTCAGAAGACACTAAACACTCGGCGAAGCTCAATCGTTGCAGTCTTGTACCGGGTTTCCTCATCCGTGGTACTACTCTCCGCAGGTACCGGGAAACAACAATGAGTCTACCCTGGCCTCGGGCCAGCCAAACCACAATTCCACTAAGTGCCTCTTCGTGAAGGTCCACAACCACAGTCCAACCTGTTGCTGGCAGGTACCAATCAGCCTCACGCTGCTGGGCCACTTCTCTTGCAGATACTAGGGTTGCGAGCCTTAGGCAGGAGCGTCGTGCAACTCGCTTGTTACTCTCCTCCTCAGCACCTTAGTCAGTCATCTCTTCTACCAGCCTGCCCCGGGTACGGCGAATCCCGTCACTGCCACTCCACAGGGAGACAGAAGAACACTTCACAGTCCTCTTCCGGCGGCGGCTCACTGCTTTCTTAAAGCAGACTGGTGTAGAGACCTTGGCTGCCCTGGGTAGACTGACTGTTCTTGTATCACAGCAGCCCTACGTCGACTCTGCGAATACAGACACGCCATCAATACACTGGGACACTACATGGGACCACTAGGAAACATCATTTACTGACTTAGACACTAACGTGCACCTTGTCGCTCAATAGATGGCGCTGATTGTCTAAGCGTAACCTCACCAGAGGTCAGCACCAGTTACCTCACAAGCCGAATTGAAAATTACAGTCTCTTATATTGAAATGGCATATCTGTTGGAATCATAGGAATGCGAGGAATGAGAACAACTTCAACTTTGAAAGGTCCTGTCAAGATTGTGGCGTGGCGTTGCAAAGTTTTGGCTGGTTGATATTTCGCAACATGATAATTGGCACGCCGATTTTCAATTGCCGTACGTGTGATGGTATTCCTGGCAAATCGAGTGAATTCAAAAATTCTGTTGGATAATTAACCGCCTCATCTGCTTCCTCAATAGTGTCGACGGACTTTTATGTGACTGCCCGGCTTTGAATGTTAGACTGAACAATATTGTTAAGTTAGTGTACGTCTTTGTTCATGACCGCAAGAAGAGCTCGTTCATTCAGACAATCGTGATTCTTATAATTGATTTGAACATTGGGAAATACTTTTTTAACAAATTCTTCTTTTGACGTCACTAAATTGTAGAAGTTTTGAGGCAATGATATTCGTTCTGAGGTGAGATCAACCAGCACGTTTTCGTTCACAATTTCCAGAAATTTATATGAGAATATCCCAGCTGATGGATCGTTTTGCTGCTAGACACGCATATTTGTAGTTAATTTTAACGTCTTTACGTGGCGCCACAAAGTAGAGTATTTCAGCCGAGAATTTATTTCGTCCGCTGGTGTCGATCGAGGAATTACAGGTAATGTTTGCCTGAACTCTCCTGCTGGCAACATTCATGCGTTCCCAAATGGTCTGCTGTTTCCAAACAAATCTTGCAATGATCAATCAAGAACCTCGAGCGATTTTTTGGGGCCATTGTGCATTCATCCCAAACAATAAGTTTACATCTGTGCAATGCTTTGGAAATGTTGCACGTGGGAATTTCAATGAATTGCATGATCAATGACAATTTCATAGCCGAAGTAGCAGTTCTTCCACCTGGAAGAAATGTCGCAGCTATTCCGGACGATGCAAGAGCAAAGGTTATG